TCTGATCCCTTCCTTCCTTTAAGGGCCGATTAAGGGGTAAGGGGTAAGTTGCACACATCTGGAACCAAAAGCTGCGGCTAGATATTGACCCGAGGAATCGATTGCGACCCTTATTTTGGGGATCAGACGAACCCTTGAGGCACTTTTGACGCGCCCCGTCCTTTAAGGGCCGATTAAGGGGTAAGGGGTAAGTTGCACACATCTGGATTTTTGTGAATTGACCTCGGATTTTTTTTTAATGTGATACTGCTTCTCGATGAGACGAACACAGTGGTGGCCGAAATTTTCAAATCGGACCATAAACAAAGATTCTACAGGGTACGGGGACTAAAATTAACGTTTAAAGTGACCTTGACCTTGACCTATGACCTTGACCTCGGATTTTTTCGAATGTGCTACTGCTTCTCGATGAGACGAACACAGTGGTGGCCGAAATTTTCAAATCGGACCATAAACAAAGATTCTACAGGGTACGAGGACTAAAATTAACGTTTAAAGTGACCTTGACCTTGACCTATGACCTTGACCTTGGATTTTTTCGAATGTGCTACTGCTTCTCGATGAGACGAACACAGTGGTGGCCGAAATTTTTAAATCGGACCATAAACAAAGATTCTACAGGGTACGGGGACTAAAATTAACGTTCAAAGTGACCTTGACCTTAACCTATGACCTTGACCTCGGATTTTTTCGAATGTGCTACTGCTTCTCGATGAGACGAACACAGTGGTGGCTGAAATTTTCAAATCGGACCATAAACAAAGATTCTACAGGGTACGGGGACTAAAATTAACGTTTAAAGTGACCTTGACCTTGACCTATGACCTTGACCTCGGATTTTTTCGAATGTGCTACTGCTTCTCGATGAGACGAACACAGTGGTGGCCGAAATTTTCAAATCGGACCATAAACAAAGATTCTACAGGGTACGGGGACTAAAATTAACGTTTAAAGTGACCTTGACCTTGACCTATGACCTTGACCTCGGATTTTTTCGAATGTGCTACTGCTTCTCGATGAGACGAACACAGTGGTGGCCGAAATTTTTAAATCGGACCATAAACAAAGATTCTACAGGGTACGGGGACTAAAATTAACGTTTAAAGTGACCTTGACATTGACCTATGACCTTGACCTCGGATTTTTTCAAATGTGCTACTGCTTCTCGATGAGACGAACACAGTGGTGGCCGAAATTTTCAAATCGGACCATAAACAAAGATTCTGCAGGGTACGGGGACTAAAATTAACGTTTAAAGTGACCTTGACCTTGACCTATGACCTTGACCTCGGATTTTTTTCAAATGTGCTACTGCTTCTCGATGAGACGAACACAGTGGTGGCCGAAATTTTCAAATCGGACCATAAACAAAGATTCTACAGGGTACGGGGACTAAAATTAACGTTTAAAGTGACCTTGACCTTGACCTATGACCTTGACCTCGGATTTTTTCGAATGTGCTACTGCTTCTCGATGAGACGAACACAGTGGTGGCCGAAATTTTTAAATCGGACCATAAACAAAGATTCTACAGGGTACGGGGTCTAAAATTAACGTTTAAAGTGACCTTGACCTTGACCTATGACCTTGACCTCGGATTTTTTCGAATGTGCTACTGCTGCTCAATGAGACAAACACAGTGGTGGCCGAAATTTTCCGATAGCTCCAAAAATGAAGATTTTATAGGGTACGGCGATTTTTAAAGTGACCTTGACCTTGACCTATGAACTTGACCTCGGATTTTTTTGAATGTGCTACTGCTTCTCGATGAGACGAACACACTGGTGGTCGAATTTTTCAAATCGGACCATAAACAAAGATTCTACAGGGTACGCAGTATTTTGACCTCTCAAGGTCAAACGGTTTGACCTAGGAAAAAAGGTCACCATTTTCGAACTCAGCGTGCCATGGGCTATCTGTATGATCTGTATGCCACATTACTCGAATTTGAATCCGAATACGAATACGACGCTAACTTTATGGACATGTATTGTTGCTGTTGCTGACGCTAACTTCACGGACATGTCGCTAGGAACAAGGAACAACAGCGGAGATCCCAAAAAAGTAAACAAAAGTAAAAGGCTAATATGTTGCGTAACCGGACAAATCTTCGTATGGCAATTCTTCGTCGCGCAATTCCTCGTCCGCATTTCTTCGTCCGCAAATCTTCGTCGGCGCATTTATTCGTGTCGCATAACTTCGTCTCGCATTTCTTCGTAAGCGCAAATATTCGTAGCGCATTTTTTCGTATCCGCATTTCTTCGTACGCGCATTTCTTCGTCAAGCATTTTTTCGTCCACGCATTTCTTCGTCTACGCAAATCTTCGTCCGCATTTCTTCGTCCACGCAAATCTTCGTCTGCGCATATCTTCGTCCGCAAATCTTCGTCCCCGCAAATCTTCGTCCGCAAATCTTCGTCCGCATTTTTTCGTCCACGCATTTCTTCGTCTACGCAAATCTTCGTCCGCATTTCTTCGTCCACGCAAATCTTCGTCCCGGCAAATCTTCGTCCGCAAATCTTCGTCCGCAAAACTTCGTCCGCAAATCTTCGTCCGCATTTTTCGTCCACGCATTTCTTCGTCCACGCATATCTTCGTCCGCAAATCTTTGTCTGCGCTATCTTCGTCTCCGCAAACATTCGTCCACAAATGTGGTTCAATAAAACCATGAAGAAATATCAGACCATCAAGTGATTGACGAATTTAATGCATGGAATGGATGACGAAACTTTTGAAGTCAGGTAGATGAGGTCTGTCAGGTGAAGCTATTGTATTTGGGAGCCGAGAATTGAAACATTCCATATCATTTGTGTCCCGGGTATTCTTTTTTCGCGGTCGATGAATGACAATACAATCTCATGTACCCTCGCCGGCATAGGCGGCGGAACGGGGAGGGCACCGGGGCACCGTTCCCCTCTTTAATTTTGGCCTTTTAACAGTAGCCCTATGGGCGTAGCATGGAAAGAATGGGACTAAAAGTCGGCAGTGCCGTGCCCCCCCCCCCCCCCTAATTGAATGTGTTCCGCCGCTACTGCTCGCCGGACCTATTTGTTTTCTACATATACGCCGGCCGAGGGGGGCGGGTACGACCCCCGCCCCCATCGCCGTTTCGCCACTGGTGGAGCTAGCGCGTCGCGGAAAAAACGAGAGTGTGCGCCGTTACGAGACGCAGAGGTTAATACCCGATTTTAAGGCCTTCTAGGTCAGGGGTCGGCTTACAGCCCGCGGGCCGGATCCGGCCAGGAGGGTGACGGTTGGATCCGGCCCGCGACCATCTGACGTCCGGCCCGCGCAAGTTTTGTCTAGAAGTAGAATTAGACAAAAACACCCGCAAATGGTGTTTATAAACTCATGAAGTGTGCGAAGGAAGAACTATTGTGCCAAAGCACATTTAAGTCACTTTTATATCGGAGTCGATTTCTGAAGGAACCGCGGGCCGGAACACGATGTAAGTCGATGATACCAGCCGCGGGCCGGACGTCAGATGGTCGCGGGCCGGATCCAACCGTCACCCTCCTGGCCGGATCCGGCCCGCGGGCCGTAAGCCGACCCCTGACCTAGAAGGCCTTAAAATCGGGTATTAATCTCTGCGTCTCGTAACGGCGCACACGCTCGTTTTTTTCCGCGACGCGCTAGCTCCACCAGTGGCGAAACGGCGATGGGGGGGGGGGTCGTACCCGCCCCCCCTCGGCCGGCGTATATGTAGAAAACAAATAGGTCCGGCGAGCAGTAGCGGCGGAACACATTCAATTAGGGGGGGGGGGGGGCTTGGCACTGCCGACTTTTAGTCCCATTCTTTCCATGCAACGCCCATAGGGCTATTGTTAAAAGGCCAAATTAAAGAGGGGAACGGTGCCCCGGTGCCCTCCCCGTTCCGCCGCCTATGCCGGCGAGCAGGGCTGCGGAGTCGGAGTCGGAGTCGGAGTCGGAGTCGGTCGGAGTCGACAGTTGTGACCGGAGTCGAAGTCGGAGTCGGAGTCGATTTTAGAAACCCGAGCCGGAGTCGGAGTCGGAGTCACCGAAAATCTGTCGACTCCGCAGCCCTGCTAGGCCTGCGGAGTCGGAGTCGGGAGTTGGAGTCGGTCGGAGTCGACAATTCTGCCCGGAGTCGGAGTCGGAGTCGGAGCTGGTTTTTGAAAGCCGGAGTCGGAGTCGGAGTCGGAGTCGCCGAAAATCCATCGACTCCGCAGCCCTGCCGGCGAGGGTACAAGAGATTGTATTGTCATTCATCGACCGCGAAAAAAGAATGTCCGGGACACAAATGATATGGAATGTTTCAATTCTCGGCTCCCAAATACAATAGCTTCACCTGACAGACCTCATCTACCTACCTGACTTCAAAAGTTTCGATCATCCATTCCATGCATTAAATTCGTCAATCACTTGATGGTCTGATATTTCTTCATGGTTTTATTGAACCACATTTGTGGACGAATGTATGCGGAGACGAAGGTAGCGGAGACAAAGGTTTGCGGACGAAAATATGCGCAGACAAAGATTTGCGGACGAAGATTTGCGTGGACGAAGAAATGCGTGGACGAAAAATGCGGACGAAGATTTGCGGACGAAGATTTGCGGACGAAGTTTTGCGGACGAAGATTTGCGGACGAAGATTTGCCGGGACGAAGATTTGCGTGGACGAAGAAATGCGGACGAAGATTTGCGTAGACGAAGAAATGCGTGGACGAAAAAATGCGGACGAAGATTTGCGGACGAAGATTTGCGGACGAAGATTTGCGGGGACGAAGATTTGCTGACGAAGATATGCGCAGACGAAGATTTGCGTGGACGAAGAAATGCGGACGAAGATTTGCGTAGACGAAGAAATGCGTGGACGAAAAATGCTTGACGAAGAAATGCGCGTACGAAGAAATGCGGATACGAAAAAATGCGCTACGAATATTTGCGCTTACGAAGAAATGCGAGACGAAGTTATGCGACACGAATAAATGCGCCGACGAAGATTTGCGGACGAAGAAATGCGGACGAAGAATTGCGCGACGAAGAAATGCCATACGAAGATTTGTCCTGGAATCAATATGTTGAAAACCGGTGAATATTTTTCGGTGAAATTTGGTAGATATTTGTTTTTTCTCTTTCTTAATCGAGCGACATCACTTTCTTCATGCCAATTGATTGACTTTTTTTAAGGTGGGAGGGTCCCTTTAGGACCCGCCAGTGCATTGTGCACAGAGTGAGAATATACCTTGGTATATAGGGCCTTGGAGACGTGCATATTTACGTCTGGACAACGAGTTGCGTTGGAGAGGCCGGAAATAGTGGCGATTTCAGGACCGCAAGAATGGACCGCCATTGGAATGATTCTTTTTTAAATCGTGCACTGTTTTCGGCCGGAATTTAATAGTTACTACAAAATATTTTGTAATTACGTTTCCACCAAGAATGAATGCCATCAGGGCTAAATTTTTAATACTATTGCATTTTGTCAAGAAGCATATAGTGCTGTTATATTGCAGTTTTAGCGCGTTTGTTACAAAATATGAAGCGAATAAGCGTCAGTGTAATTCATCAACAGTGCCAGCTACTAAGCTATACTAATTGCTCTTGTCCATCCACTAAAATTTATTAAATATTTTGCTTTGTGTATTCCAAAGGAAGAGGGAACTATTTCATTTGTGCCTTCATGTCAGAATTGAAGGTGGATCATTAAATTTTCAACGCAGTTTACAAACAAGCATTTGGTCTTTCTCGTTTATAAGCAGTGGCAAAGAAAAGGTTGATCAATCCTGAAGTTCAGTCATCGTACCTCAACTTGGCAGCAAGATCCCCCAAGGACAGAGGATATATTGTATACATGTCCTGTAAATCAAACCAAACAAGCATTTGGTCTTTCTCGTATATACCTAAGCAGTGGCTAAGAAAAGGTTGATCAATCCTGAAGTTCAGTCATCATACCTCAACTTGGCAGCAAGATCCCCCAAGGACAGAGGATATATTGTAAACCTGTCCTGTTAATCAAAACATTTTTGTGCCTTCAAAGGCTTAAGTTATCTGTGGTGTGTTCGGAGTAAGGCTATATGGCCGTTTTTGTTGTATGTTTATGTGGAGATTGAATATAACTGTGACCCTGTGCTTGTTTGCATACTTACGGTCAAACAGGGAACAGCACATTCACATAACATACTCACCTAGCAGTTAGCACCTAACTCATAGCTGTACCCTGCAGGATCTGTACTTGTTCATGTCTCGAGCATTAACAAAGCACTAAAGTAGCTTAGTAATCATTTCCCACATTTTCTGAGCATCTAACATGACATACAGCAGTGCAGAGCAGCTTCAGAGAAGAAACACTTTAAATGCACAGTCTCACACCAGCCACCCAATGAGCCAGTTCCTCAGTTGACTGTTTCCCTGGACACAGCGTGGCAATGTGAGCTTACTTTTGGCAAGTTGGAGGTTAGCAGGTACGATTGAGTTAGGGTGAGTACCTACCTATAACTGGGTGCCACTGCCATGCAGGTCTTGGGTAGGCTGCAAATATGTGTGATGATTGAGGTTAGGTCAGCTGTCAGGTTAGTCAGGTTCAGGTATGCTCATTGCTCAGGTCACATTTTTATGGACATTTGGCAAATTAAAAAACTAACAATCTGATCTTAGGTAAACATACACAACTACTGACTATAGGAAGTAGGAACTGAGCACCTACCTACTTGTGCCTACATCTCATACCATGTCAAAGTGGAGTTCCTTGGTGGAAGATTACCCTCAGTACTGTTTATCCCAGCCCTGTGAAGAAAACTAATACTTCTAAGCTTTGAGTCACTGCTGGCCATCCACAGGAAGAAACGCTGAGACTGAGAGCTTTGTCATTGTATATTGGACCAATAATGACTATCACGAATGACTATGAACACATAATATGATCACATTGTTGCATGGATTGTCACATTGACAATTTTACTACAATCCTTTTTTCAAGAAATACAGTTATGATGATTAACATCAAAATCAACATAAAGTGGATTTAGTGATCCAAGCTTTCTCCTCCAGTAGCAATGGAATGATCGCCTGTTTCATTTGCCAGACACTGAGTACCTGATGCACATTACAATCTGCATAGCATTTAAGCATAGTAAAACTGCCCAAGTCCATTCATTCTAGATTTTAACTTGACAGTTAGCACTAATTTATCTTGCTGTTGTAAGTTATCATTCAATATTCATACCAATACATCAATATGCGCTCATCAGTCAACATTTTCTGGCACGATCCTGCTCAGCGTGCTCTTCAGTATTGCTCCAAGGTCTGCAATATTATAGCTTGTTTTTGGACAATACCTAAGCTCTTTTAATTTTACTTTTTCTTGCTGATATATGAGCCCGATCAACTTGCGTTTATCAACCAAAATTTCATAATTTGTTCAACTTGATATTGATATTGCTCAGTAGTCAGGACCTCTGTCAGCCTCCTGGATACTTCAGATTGTTTTCAGTCAACATGCTTCTTAAATATGATATAAGTCAATCTTAAGGGATTCAAAACATCCAACAAAACGACGTACAAGAGCAAGAAAACCACCAGATAAACTAAAAAATGGCCTTGGAACAGAGCCAAGTGGTGCTCCATTTGTTTGTTTACATTGATTGTAGTGCTGATGTATTTTTAGGACTCTGAACGTCGGCTTATAAAAAAATGAAACGTTTTTACAAAAGTTGTAAGGCAAGTAATATTTATCTGAAAGAACTAAAATATTCAAAAGCCAAACACTATGAAATACATGAATCGGAACGAAAAAGTAACCCAAAAATCCAGCCTAATCACCGGCTCCTAAAACTGCAACACAATCGGCACTTTTCCCCGCAACTCGTTGTCCAGACGTAAATATGCTGGAGACGTGGGTGCATTGACCTGTAATAGACTTGTATAGGTCAATGCGTGGGTGTAGGCCTTGTGTTATGAACATTCTTAGTTTAAGTCACTACCTACCTACCTACAACCTAAAACCTACAAACCTACAACCTAACCGTAATTACTGGGGTGATTTCGCTGAAACCTTTGACTTGGCATACAGTTAGGCACCCACCAGGCAATGCATTCCCATGTCAATGTGTTACATACAGTTAGGGTGCTACTGCACGTGCGCACGTGCAGGGGGCGCTTCCAGATCTCGAGAATGGCTGGGCCAATTGCGCTCAAATTTGGTACACACTACACGGTTGGAGACTGGTTAGGGTACTCTCTTAGCAGACGTCACCCGAGCTGCCATATCTATGTCTCACGTGCGCAACAATTGCCTTTTCACGGTTGAATATATAACAAAACATAATCTAACCTGACCTAACCTTACCTACAACCTACAACCTAACCTACCAACCTACAACCTACAACCTGCCAACCTAGGTACCCTACTGGATATGGCAGCTCGGGCGACATCTGCTAAGAGAATACCCTGGTAAGTAGGGTGCAGTGCAAAAGTCAGTTTGGACCCCGTTTGCATGTGCGCACGTGCAAAATGCCGCTTCCAGATCTCAGAAATGGCTGGGCCAATTGCGTTCAAATTTGGCACACCACTAGTGGACGGTTAGAAGGGTGCTTTGCACAAGCCTGTTGGAAGTATCCTCTCGCCCTTCCACACGTGCAGGGTTCACTATCTCGCTCGCTCATTCTTCGCCCAAAAGGCGTTTTGTTGGTGTGGTATATGAGTAGATTAACCCGCGCCCCACTGGGGAGTGGGCTATTCATAGCCCCCCTCCCGTTTTTCTGCAATAACTTCCAAACCGCTTGACGTATCGACGCCAAACTTTCAGTACCTTCGGCTGCATCAATTTGATACCTTGTGTCAAAATATGAACTTTGTAGCTACCATAGGTCGGCCGGAAATGACGTCAGAGTGACGTCATGTTCGGCCGATTTCGACGTTGAACCACGGCAATCGCTCCCAAGAGCTCAGTTTTTAAGCTAGATCCAATTTCTTTGCATGAGCGAACTCAGAATAGACTGCGCTATCAAACTGCTATCTCGGATTTTCGAAATTCTGAATATTTCGAAAATTTAATATAATAAAATCCAAAATTTATATTTTTACATCTTTTTCCAAAGGTTTTTGACTTTGAAAAAAAAAAACGGAATATATGTGATAGAACGCATTATTTTGACCAACTCTAGCAAGTTTTAGCTAAATATCTTCAAAAATGGCGCCAATATAAATAGCACCATCGTGTTCCTGAGCTCAAACTGCAGCCAATAGACACATTTTTTGTTGAAAAATTATAACTTCAAAATTTGACCTTTTTTGACCTGAAAGTGACCTGACCTAAGCTACATTCGACTCAAAATGACCTCGAATGACACAGACGACATCAAATTCGAAATAATTGGCCTAAATGGACCATAAAACATGTGTCACGTGACCGACGCATGATATAATATTTTCGTGACCTGTGATGACCTGACGGCTGACCTTGACCTGAAAATCAAAGTACAAGTTTGGTACCCTCAGGGTATGTAGAGCATCTGTTCACGAGTGTGTGAACCAAAAATGAGCCTGATCTGACTTGTAAGACGGCGGCCAGAGCCCAAAACGTGTACAAGCCAAAATGCTAATAATTTTTACTTTGACGTGACCTGTGACGTCATCGGTGACCTCGAGGTCAATGAAATTAGGTTTCGTTCGACAGTTTTTCCGGGGCTATCAGACGCCGTTTGAATTTTGACGATCGGCCCAGTAGTTTCGGAGTTAGGAGGGGGGGGGGGGCTATGAAGAGCCCCCCAGTAGGGCGTGTTATACGCAGACCCCAGTGGGGCGCGGGTTAAGGTTGAAATGGTAGGTTGGTAGGTTGTAGGTTAGTAGGTAAGCTTAGGTCAGGTTCAGGTTAGATTAGGTTTCGTTATTTCTGCTTGTATTGTACCTGATTTTTTTAGCATTCAATGATTGTATGAACAGTTGTCTAGGACTGTTGATGCATGGTTTGTGACAACATGGTGTGGTTTTTATTCAATTTTGAGCCTAGGGTGCAAAAGAGGGATTTGACCCACCTCTGAGGCTTGAACGGTAAATGACTTTTGCAGATGACACGTACTTAAGTGCCAGT